CGGTAAAAAAAACTGACCGTTGCAAAACAATCAAAAAATTAAAAAAAAAAAAATCGAAAAAATGCAAAAGAAATCTCCAAAAATTTCTATCAACCAAAACAAATTTTACTCTCTCTTAATTCTAACAATCTAAATGGTCTTTTTGGTTTTTGTGCTTGGTTTTTTATAAAACGATCCAATTCTACGTAAATTCAATTTCGATTTTATAAAAAGCTCTCACTTCGGTTTCAATTCTACATAATATTCTCTCCTTTTATTTTCTAATCAGCTTCACACCTCTTTTTATCTTTTTTATTATATATTATTTAATTTCAAGTTATAAAATGTAGAGTTCTCGTGGTGGTGATGCTAGCGGTTTTTTCCCACAAAAGCGTAAAAATGTAAGCGGTGCGCATCTTCGAGTAGTTTTCCATTGCCAAGGCAAATTGTATACTGGGAAGTCCAGGGTCTACCCAATTATATTGATCCATAGATGATCGATCGCATATTTCAACTCTCTAGATAAAATAGAAGATACCTATTGGGTCGAGGAGTAGACAACCATTCATACATGAATTGGACAGTGAACTTCTTGTTACCCAGTTGTATGTTAGTACACTAAGAAGTGGTTTGCTTATGTCTATGACCACTAGAAGCCTTAGAATTTACCTGCCAAATTACCTCCATGAGGAACTGAAACATCTTTCACACCCTTGAATACACTTCCTAATTTGAGGCCAACATCCGTAGAAAGTTAGTAGAGCGGGATGTTCCATGCTTGAACCCAAATTTCGAGCTCTTGAAACCTAGGGTGGTCTGCTGAAATTCCCTCTGACCAATATTTTAAGATTAAGAATTGGTTCTCGAAAGACCAGTTGAGCCTTTGCTAACCTTGAGCTCATCGAATAGAAATCAATTTTTATTCAAAACGAAGCCACGATTCTCGACAACCAAACTGGTAGTTGTAGTTAGATTCCTCGGTCCGAAGCAAGGCAACAAGGGATCGGTAATTCCACTGTTTTCGGTGGCTTCGGGATTTCAAGTCGGGAAAAGAGGTGGAATTGATTGATAGAATCGGCTTCTTCCCTTCGGGACCGCAGAAAGAAATTCCAAGTAGCCCGTCATATGATGTGAAGCACCGCTATCATACATCCACTCATAAGGGTTAGGCAACACTAGGGCGCGGCATCCACAAAACTAGAGTCCCCCGACCAGCAGCTCGCAACGACTTCCATTGTTAGAGTAGATAAACTGAAAGAAATTCTGACTCAATTCTTTGACAGAAACTGAATATCTAATCTGCCACATTCGACTTATTGCTCATCTAATTCCAATAATATTTGCTTTTTGCTGGCCGATTATCTTCCCAAATAGACTATGGCTGCATTCATCTGCACTTTGTTGGATATCTCCCGAATCTAAAGGAACAACTGTTGCTTCTTATTCCGAAAGAAGAATAGAGTGAAGAAATCTTGGAG